AGAAATCCCCACGCGGTGGTGACGGCGATGCGTCGCTACTTCGTGGAGCTGCCAGTTGTGATCGCAAGAGCTGTACACACCGACCAGTGGGCCTTACCTGGTAACATAACAATAAAAAGGCATCGTTTTAGTTTAGGGGCCGTCCATAAATGACGTCACGCACCTGGGGGGGGGTCAGACATTTGTGACGATTGTGACGAGGGGGGGGGGGGTGAGAAATGTGACGTCGCATCAAAATGCGCAACTTTAAATAAATATAGAATTGTTATAACAACACTAATTGTTATAACAACACTCCTACAACATCAGAGTACATCGCCATATTAAATACGCATTACAATGACAATAGTTTGCATGTTTTATTTTCAAAATGGAAATGTGTTTTTTTAGGGGGGGAGGGCAGAGCTTTGTGACGTCATATTTGAGGGGGGGGTCTGACTTTTTATGACGCCGTGTGACGAGAAGGGGGGGGGGTCAAAAATCGTCCAAAATCGCGTGACGTCATTTATGGACGGCCCCTTATGCGGTGAGCGAGCGCACGATGCACGCGACGCTCACGGTCCCAGCGGTGGCGGGTCACCGGCCCTGCCGCGACCCCGTGGGGTCGGAGAGCCTCGAGAGCATCGCGATCGAGCAAGAGGGGTCCTGGGCCCCCCACGAGCTCCACCAAACAGCAGCCACGCAAGAGACACGTTCAAGTTTCAAGTTTCATTTATTAGGTAGAGCCCTGTGAGCCATTCGGCTCTTGAATCGGGTGCAACCGCAACAAACAAAAAACTAAAAACATGAACAAGAAAACATCTTATAGACAGCAAAATCTTGCAGAAAAAGCGCCGTGGTGAAAGCGCACATGATGTGTGCGTTGTGCACTTCACGAGCTGCTGCCGATGGTTGTTTCGTTTTGGACGATGCGCAAAGGCCGTGGGGGTGGGTGGGGGGCCTCTCTCTACCCGTAGAGCAGAGCGCACAAAGCCACGCAGACGACTGCCGCCTCTCGCCGCGAATTGGCGACACGAATTGGCGACACGGGGCCCACACGTAGCGCCCGCAGCTACCGCGCTAGGATGACCCCCCCCCCACCCGGTGTTTGGTGAGTGGTGGTGGGGGGCGTCTTATCGTCTGGAAGGCGTTGTGCGAGCAGGCGCAACGCCTTTCGCGAGGCTTTGAATTTGCACGGAGCACAGAATCAGAGTCGATGTGTTCATAATGCGCAGGATAACAAGACGGTTGGCACGGTTGGTTACGTACGGTGCGAAAGAAGTGCATCATACACACACACGCACATGGAGTGGTTACATCCATTGGCGCGTGCCGTGCAGTGGAGCTGGCAGGCCGGGTGAGGACACATCTCGCCACCCTTGCCCCACCCCCCCATCCACACCCTCCACATCCCCCCCCTGTCCCAGGCAACGCTGCTGTGCTTGATTCCCTGTTGTGTTTGGAGGGTGAGCTGCAGAAGGTTGTCACGGCTTTTATCGTGTTCATTAAATGGCTTTCATATTTTTTTTTCTGTAGCCAAAGCTGCCGTAGTAGTTCAATAAAAATCAAAACCATCGCAACTTTAATTTCGCGGGACCTTTCTTGATTTCTCTGCTTTATTTGCCGCGCAATCACAAACATTCCCGTGTCTTGCCCTCTTTGTTTATTAAATCAAATAATTACAAGGCAACTTTGCATATCCGACAGTCGCATATCCGCCCTTCGCCAATTGCCAGCACGCACCCGCCCGCAGCACGTGCTGATGGCGGGTGTATCCATCGTCACGCGTTCAACACACGCCCACGTGTCTGACCCTTCCACGCACAGTGGGACATGCGGGGTCGTGAACACTTTTCTGAGCTGGCGTCTGGCCACAGCGAGAGGGATATCCGCGCACCTTCGCCCCCCCCCCCCCACCTTGCGACGGAGGAGACGCGACGCCATGGGGCACACCACTCCACATTGTCCTTTGGACATACTGGCCCCAGCCACGGGGAACGTGGCATTTCCAGCACTTTTGAACGGAGACAATGAGCGCTTATTGACGCTCGAGCGACATCGTCGGCCAATGGCCAATCCACTGCTGGATTAAGGCCTCCTCAAGACGCCGTCTCTCGCCATCCCTGCGAGGTGAGAACCCGCCTCGCGCCTGCACACGAGTTGATGTCATCGCTCCGTCGCCTCGGATGAAGAACCTCGGTCGTGTTCCATTCCTTGACTGCCTCCCCGATGTCAGTGTGAGCCCAGGGCAGGTGGAGGTATGAGCCCATGGCAGGTGAGGGTGTGATGCCAGGGCAGGTGAAGATTCACGCGAGGCCAGGGTAGGTGTGTGTGGGATGCCAGAGCAGGTGGGTGTAAGTGATGTCAGTGCAGGTAATTGATCATAAAATATAACAAATTACGATTCATGGAAAAAGATATACTAATTATTGACATGAATAACATCGAACCTCTCAGGCACGTGTGACCTGTGCCCACCGCGTATCCATCTCTCTGAGAACGCGGGGGGCTGCTCATCACTAAAATGAATGTCAACAAAATGTGATGGAGGGAATTGTCTCCTCGTTTCCGCTCCGTGATCCTCAATCGTCCGATCACTGTGGACACAACTCGCTCTCTCTGTCACTCTCACCGGTCACCGCACATACACCGACTCCTCGGGGAGTTGACGCCTTCAAACAAAAACCTAAAGCGTTACATCTGACGCCGTGACATCGACGCACGTGCCCCCCCCCCACCCCCCGGCCAAAGTGCGGTGCCCGGGGAAGTCGCCCCCCATTCCCCGTGCACCCGAGAGACGGCTCCGGTCGTATCGATAGGTCTTGTGATTGAACGTTATCATCCACGATTCTCGCAGTCTCGTCGTCTCGGGGATTTGCTACTCGTATCAATCGTCAGACTTCGCCAGCAGGATACAGACAGGGAATGGAGAATGCGTAACACACAAGAAATCACTCCAGCACTCGGGACACGTCTAATCTACGTATTTTAATAACAATGTCAAAGTATCAACCAGTGTCTCAGGGTAACTCGATACATCTATGACAGCAATTCAACAATACAATGAAAAAACTCTCCTAACGAAATGCGCGCAACACACCACCAATTTGTATTAGTTGGAATTTCCAAGGCTCCAATGTGCTTCAGTTCACCAAGTTCATTTGGTGACGTTGTAGGTAGAGCAAGTGACCTGCCAGCAAAGCCAGATCTCCTCCCCTCTCAATGCGAACATGCCTTTCTCTGCGCAGCTGATGTGTCACCAATCTCTGCTGCTGCTGCTGACGCACTCGGTCCACAATCGCCCAATGAGGCTGCAGTCGGCCGCTCTGGCCGGGCCTGTGCCGATGGGCGGCTGTTTGCCCTCCGTCGCTGCTCCCGGTGTCACACACCGAGACTCCTCAGTGGCACTCGGTTAAACATCACGCACCATCCACAGGGGATCGCAGCGTCACCTTACACTCGATCTGCAAGTCCAGATATTAAATGATCCTAGTGTGCGAGGTTGATATGGCGCTCTCTGTCGCAAGCACGACCATCATGACGATGCAATTTACCACGATTCAATAAACAAATCTGATCTTGACCCTTTCCCATTCCGATGACGTACGTGTCCCAATTCCATTCCGATTCCGTACGTGATGAGAACGGAACCTGAAGTACAAGGACATGCGGGAGGGCGTGTGGTGCCAGCGGTCGTGGAGTGCGGTCATGTTGCTACAGTTCTCCGCGGTGAGTACGACGTCTTTAAAAACAACGGCGCTATGCTTCTCTAAATAAAACGAATCGCTCGCACGTTCTGAGATTAAGCGGCGAATGGGACCACCACACCCTGCAACTTGCAGACGTCTCGGAACGAGAAAGGGGGTGAAGTGTCCTCGACAGTGGCGACTCGACGTGTACGGGGTGCGGGCCCAGAGCTGTGCACGATCCCCAGCTCAGCAAGAAGAGCAAGGAAGGGGGGCTCAAGGCTCCAAGCGCATTGTTAACAATCACACGTGCTACAAGAAGTTCAACGTACATACGTACAGGGAGCGCTCAGCTCAAAGCGTGTGTCTAGAAGCGCACATGAGAGAATGAGTTGTATAAACTCGTATTGCATAGAGTATAGTTTACTCATGGGCAGCCCCAATGCTCACACGCTCTGCCTTCTGCAGTAGCCACACACAAGTCAGATTTTACGAGCAGCTCGATCGGAGCTTGCCTGGTGCAAAAGCTGGGCTGGGCGCTCCGAACTTAAATCGGAATCTCGGGGCTCAACCTACCAGAATTATTTGTTGACCTTTGACCTGTACCGATTCCCAAACCCAGGCCCTATGGCAACTCCCTTCCTTGATGTATAACACTCGGGGGGGTGTTAGCCGGAGGTGAACCCACGAGATAAAAAGTCACCACGCCACAGGCTTTGTAAATGTCCCCATACCCGATGGTCGTCCTCCTTCCCACAAGATGTAAAACGATCCTTTGGTTGCGCGGGGGATGAGGAGGTGAAAGGTCGGGAGGCCCCACGTCAGGTTGCAAAGAGCAGATGCCCCCACACACCTAACGGGGCACTCCCGGCCACAATGAAAACGTGGGGTTATAGATGGAGCTGACTTCAACGGAGGTATACTCCAAAAACAAAACAACATTTCAATAGGCAGCCATTACAATTCCACTTTCTGGAAAAGGCACACATAACAACAGAGTTTCCGCCAAATTTTCACAGATCAAATTTCCTCCGACAGTTTCCACTTACAGTGAACTCGGATCGTAGGTCACATGAAAACTTGTCACTGCTTCCAGAAGATTGGAAATGTGAAGAAAATGATTCCACGCAGCACAAAAATATGCTTCCGACTGCAAACCCATGTCACGTGTCATCGTAATCTTCTGAGACCATGACGCTCTCCCCCTCCCCCCATGCCACCCTGCCCTACGACCCCTCCCTCTTACCGCTATCCACTCGGCATTCAGGTCACGCGTCAATGCCCACATTAGGCTGATGGTGCCCCCCCCACCCCCCTAGGCCCCCCCCCCCTCTTAGCCACGCCCCCTCACCACCCCACCCCAGCAGGCCGAGGCTGGGTCACAGCTTCTGGTTGGCGAAAAACTCCTTGGCTTTGCCGCACGTGGGGTTCACGCAGAGAGGGCAGCGCAGGCCCAGCTGCCGTGAGCACGTGCTGCCCGACTCCAGGTGCACCTTGACGAGGTCGGCCATGGCCTGCAGGACAAGGGGGGTCGGCGCAGAGAGCGCGGCGCTCACAGTGAGTGAGGCTCACCTCTGCGAGCCGCGTCGCCGCTCGATATTGACCGTGGTCATCCAGAACAGACCGTACGACGTATAACGATGTAATACGGAGGGGACATCACAGCAATGATGATACACTCCGCAGCTACCGACGCGGTTATCTGGGAAATTGTAAGTTGTTGCTCCGCATCGATATCTGCCGTACGCAAAAGAAGAAGATCGATACCCCGCCACCCACGCACTGAACCTCGTGGCGACCTGGCCAAGGAGACCCCCCGGTGGCAGCTGCCCCTACGTGGTCACAAGGGGAACATAGCACGGGCCAGCAGGTGGGCAATCGTCTGCCAGTAGGGTGCCCTGTTGCGATAAGACTCCTACAAATGAAACATAAGAAGACCGTGCTTCTTTGATCCCAACCGAATGTGGCCGACAGAAAACTGGAATAGTTTAATTTTTCTCCTGGGACCTCTGAGGGTTTGCATCTGGAGGTGTGTTGACAATGACCAAATACAAACATGACATCAGATTACAAAATTAAAAAAAGAAGACTGTAAATATTTATTCCGTCCCCCCAAAAAATTGCAGAGGTGCAACAATTGTCAATCTATTCAAGCTACGCGACAAATATGACCTCCATTTCTAGCAGCGCATCCTGCCCAAGCCCACGACTTTGTACGCCGCTTTGCATACAAAGTAACTTGAAAGGTAAGGGTACAGTCCTGCAATCGCTTGGATCACACCACCGCTGGCAGAAGAACTTCGATCCGAGCACGGCTCGGCAACCTGCGGCACGCGGTTCTTTAAGGACTGCTTCGTGCGTAAATTAAGTTGAAATTGTTATTTATACTACAGTTTGGACATGAAGACCCCGTTGTTACTCTGGACTTGACCCAGTCCAATGCCCGGGGTGCACGAAGCCAAGTTCAAGAGGTTATCAAGGTCAGCCGAGGGTTAAGACGCGGCCACAAGGCGCCAGAGAGGGGGGCGGCCGCTATCGCCAATAAGACATCATCAGTGCGAGGGCCGCCACACATCTGAAACCATTGGGATTTGACAGCACGTCAGGGGCCGCACTAAAGGCCACCAGGAGCCGCCAGTGGCCCGCGGGCCTTGCGATGAAGACCACCGCCACAACGGCAGGCTCAGCACGACAGGCCGAGGGCAGGATCGAGCGACTGTGCGATGAGCGGGGCGAGTACCTCGATGAAGACAGGGTTGGCATTGAGTGACTCCGCTCTCCTGATGTTCTCCACTCCGCACTGCACGACAACACGAGCCGGGAGGATGCAGGGTTAAAGCAACAGCTCCTACCTCGATAGCAACGTGTCACCACCAATTAGTGGCGGATGGCGGTTGTTGTTGTTGTTTCTGCGGTCGTTGTTGTTGTTGTTGCTGCACGTGCGGTTAAGCGGCGGCACGACGGCCGGCACGCCGCACTACGGAGCCCCGCTACCCGAGGTCCGTTCCAGGGCCACGGCCGACGAGACGCGCGAGCGGCGGCGGTGTGGCGATGCGGCGATGCCCCCCCCCCCACTCACCTCTCCAGCGAGCACCTGCGCGTACTCGATGTCCAGCTCGTGCAGCGTCTCGATGTGGTCCGTGGTGAACGCGATGGGCACCAGCAACATGTGCCGGTTGCCGCGCTCCGCGAGCCCCTTGATGGTGGCGTCCGTCTGCGGGCCGAGCCATGGCATGGGCCCCACCTGCGTCACCCACAACGACGACCCCCAGAAGAGGAGCAGGAGGAGGAGCAGGAGGGTGACTCGTGAGTCGAGGGCCACGAGATTTGAGCGGAGCGTACCCCGCGGATCGAATAGAGCACAAGACGGAATGGAAGGTGGGTATCGGAAAAGTATTCGAAGCTGCTCTAAGGGTGCGGATGACCCCGGTCGTTGTCACCTATCGCTCGCCGTCAATCCCTTCAGGGATGACCACATCCCCGGACCCACAAGGGAAAGGTGGAATTTCCACTGCTGGATCAAGGCTGACGAGAGGAGCGAGAAGCACCCTGCGCGCCTCCCTTGCGCACAGGGACACCAAAGCGTGCCCCGAGATGAATCGACCACTGCTCTGGAATTCTTACAGCCACCAGAGGCATCACCTCTCGTGTCCTCCACCAGAGGGCATCACCTCGTGTCCTCCACCAGAGGGCATCACCTCGTGTCCTCCACCAGAGGCATCACCTCTCGTGTCCTCCACCAGAGAGCATCACCTTGTGTCCTCCACCAGAGGGCATCACCTTGTGTCCTCCACCAGAGCCCGACAGAGCCACCCTCAGGCTCCCAGCGGTGCCAGCTCAGCACTCTGAACTCCTGAGTCACCGGGACACCTCTACTTGTTTTATTATTATTATCACGCTTGTTCACTCACGACTCTTATTCACAAGGATCCTGCCAAGTTGATAATTGGTTTTTTACCCTTTTATCTGGCAACAAAACTGACACCTCTTTAACAAATTTTTTACTGGCAAATGAGGTTCCAATGGTGTATCATGCCAAGTTGTTGCAGCATGGAGCGATGTTTACTTTGTGCGATCCCAAATTGCATAATTTGCGAGTAACAGCTCATCGTTTGGATGTTTTTTGCCCGACACCGGTGACATTGCGTGCGGAGTTTTCTTACATCTATGGGTGAAAACCGGAGGAGCCGGGAAGAAACCCATGCAGAACAGGGGGGAGAGAGAGAGAGAGATAACACACAAACTCCGAGCATGTAGGCGCCCGAGTCGGCATCCGAACACCCAGGCCCTTGTTGCTGCGAGGCAAGCGAGTGCACCACTTGCGCCACCCTGCCACTTAAAAAGTAAAACAAAAGACAAATCCGCCAAACGCGCCGCGCCCGTGGCCGCCAGCCGGCTGGGGAGCGAACGCAAAGAGAGCGGCGTCCGTGCACCGCTGCGGCACGCGGGGAGCACTCGCGGCGATTTCACAGCGCGGGCATCGCCATTGCACTAACTCGACAGGGGGAGGAAGGTATGGAGGGAGGGGAGGATAGGGAGGGAGGGGTGGGAGGGACAAACTTCAGCCGGGTGGTGAAGCCTGGGCTCCGCTTGAGCATCGACAGAACTCCACCGCCCAATTAGCAGCGCTGCTGTCTCGACGCGAGGGCGAAAGCGGCGATTGATTTTCATTTGGTATTTTGGTCTTTTGGGGTTGTATTTTTATTGGGGGGGGGGCGGGCAGGGTGGGGGGTGTTTTCTGTTGTTTTTGTTGTAAACCCAGGGGGTGTGTGTGGGAACCTAACGAGGTCCCGACAGGAGGGATGCGCGTGGTCCCGTGAGTTTCCAAGGGGACCTTTTCGGTGTCTCGCATCCCAATTAGGCGGAGCGTGGCAAACGGCCGATGTCACAACACGGATGCCGCCGTGACGTGATGCCCGCCCTCCCTGCTAGCGCTCTCACCTGTGGACAGCGATGGCGGGAGAGGGGGGGGGGAGGGAGGCGTGGGCGGAGCGGCCGATGTCAAGAAAGGCCGGGATTTTTCTCTCCTCCACCCCCGCGCTCGTTAGAACACGGCGTTTGAAAATTGTCCGCGCCAACGTTTTGATTTTGCAAGCGTCCCTCCGCTGCGTCTCCTCGCCGACCGTCCAAGGCGCTCGCCGGCAACGTTTTTTGCGCCACCAGCCTGGGACGGCTCTACGGGTGGAGCTTTGTCTCCGTGTCTCAATGGCTAGCGGCGGTGCAGCGGTTGTACGCACCGCCGCTGCGAGCCCAAGTTCCATTTCCGCTCACGACCAATGACGGTGGGCGAATATTTGAAGCGGGCGGTGCTGGGCCTCTCCTAGATCGACTCGGCCTCACACGAGCAGCTGGGGCGGTGTGTGGTAACCGTCAGCATTCGGGAGTCAGAGGCGGCCGGGCGTGGTGCTGGCCACCCACCCCCCTTTTAGCGTGCCGTGCGCAGACCTTTGTAGACGCTCGCTAACAGCACTCGCCCCAAAAGTCTGTTAAGGCTACACTATCGCTATTCGTGTGCCAATTAGCGTGCATTGTGGCCTCCGAGGAAATAATATTGCTCACACAAATGGCTTTAATAAAATTAAAAATCCATTGCCGGAGTAAAGGCTGCGTACACCCGTCACGGGGGTTACGTGAACCATACTTCACCACGCCGCGGCTTGGTGAAGGGAGTGGCTCGGACCGAACTCGTTCACCGGTTTGACGAATTCTTTAGCGCAATGCGACGCTAACGGCGGTGCCGGTGCGCCGCCACAGTTGGCGGTGTCGGAGCGGTGGGGAAGCACCGAGACTCGGAGTCGGCCGAGAGCCATCGCCACCACACCCATCGGTGTCGGAACGACGGCAGGACACTGGACAGCGGAAATCTCTCACGGCATCTGGGTCGGTTGAACGCAACGGAACGGGCACGACTGATAACGACGAAAGATAACCCATTTCACAACAACCTGGGGCGAAACCCCACGCCCAAGCCAGACACGCCGATACCCACAACTTGACAGGCCGCGTCGACGGACAGCCTGAACTTGCTGCTGCAGCGGTGGCAGCAGCAACGGGGGCATTGTGCTCACAGCGTCGCGCAGTAGAAGACCAAACCCACGGCATGAAATACACAGCGACTACAGCTTGAGCATTGCATGGCTTCATCGTATTTTTACAACAGGCCACTGGAAGTGTCGGCGACATCGACCAAGGTTGCCTCAGCTGTGGCAGAGCAGACGGACCTCGCAGTGAGACGGTTCCGGAGTTCAATTCACGGTTGAGGGTCGAATTGGCCCATCGTCCTTTCACGCCTGTGAGCAAAATAGCTGTTATGAAAATACCCAATAAAAATGTAAACTTCTTCCGGGATGGGAGATGATACCGTGCAGGAGAGAGGAAGCCGTGGGTGCTTCCTGACGACGCAACTCGGGTTGCGAAGCTACTATGCGTGGCACGACGCAGCGCAGCCTCCCGCAGCGTATCTCTGCGTCCACACAGCCTCTCACATTACTGTATCTGTGTCCCCCGTAGCGCCGTCTCGAGTTGCCAAGCGCCCCGCCGCTCACCTTCGACTGCCACACCAGGCGATACGGGTGGCTGAAGTTGAGCTGCTCCATGACGCGCTGCACCGTCGCCGCCACCTCCTGCGGGTACGGGTCTCCGCGGTTCACTACCTGCGGCCCGGACGGGGTGGTGGGTGGGCGAGAGGATGAGAGTCACGCGACCGGACACCAGGCCCACTGCGCTGCAATAGCTCTTTGTCAGAAGCGAGCTGGCTCTCACAAATGATAGCTCAGCAAAGTGGCTTATCAACACGTGGAAATTTATAGCAGCCAAATACTCTTAAAAGGACGGTGATTCTACATGTGGAGGGAAAAACCGGAGGACCTGGAGAAAAATCCACGCGACCACAGGGAGAACACGCAAACTCCAAATATATAAGTATCGTTCAGGTGGGGATCGAACCCAACGACCTCCCCTGCATGGCACACTGGTTCGTGCGCTGCATTACAAACATAACGACCAGGGTTCGATTCCCGGCCACGACCATCATCGGTTAGCGACTGATCTCTGAACTCGTCCTGGCAACGCCCTTCAACTTGAGACTCAGCCTTGAGAACGAGTAGCTCGTGCGGTGTGTAAACATCAGCACGGGAGAGACAAAGGTGGCCGGGGCGCGGTCCTCGGCCACATTACCCCGTGGCGCTCCGTAGGCGCTCGCTCGCCGTACTTGCCACAGCGGCCCATTCGTGGGCCACGCGGGACCTCTGTGCCGTCGCCCGTGTGCCTCTGTGCACGCGTGCGAGCGCCGCGCGTGTGAATGTCGCCGCACGTACAGACATGGGCAGCGAGTGCGCCGAGAAGAGGATGACCACATCTCCCCGGACGTCCGCGGGGAACTCCTGCAGCTCCTTCTTGATGTGGTCGGAGAAGCACTGTGGGGGGGGGGCGGGAGTGCAGACTCTTGTGAAGGTGAGAAGCATATTGAGTCAACGCTGACAGCGGTTCGATCGGCAAGGCGTTGTCGCTCTCAAATGAAAGGGACGACTCCGGCTCATCTCGCTCTGCCGGAAGAGACGCCGTGGACCGCGGAGACGAAACACGCACCGGGGTGCTCCGCTGCTAGGCAACAGCGGTGACGTATTTTCTCTCTCGCTCTCTCTCTCCCTCCCCGTGCTTCTCTTTGATCTGGTGTTTGTAACGGTCAGCCAAGCGACATCGTGTTTAACCTCGCACTTTGACGGGGAGAGCAAGATCAAAACGTAAGCGGTGCTGAATGAACCGGTTTTATCGACCCCAGAGGGATGATGGGCCGAGTCAACCCCCCAAACAGGATTTCAACTGGCAACCCTCGCGTCTGTGAGCCACCTGGCCACATGCAGTGGCGCCACACATCCACCGACTACTGGACATCCGTGAAAAAGAACTTTATAGCTCATCAGATTCCTCCAGTATAAACAAATATTCTGATTGTGACATACAACGGCACTCTCCTTTCCCTGCTGGCGTGCCCGAGTCAAGGATGTAAATTCCACAATCCTCTGGCAAGTGCCAGTCTATCCATACCACAATGGGGTACGACCCATGGCTTTGTTTCACACGTGAAACCCGCACCCGCACGCAGCCCCCACCACTGACTTCCATAAAAACATCCTACGCACGATATTTATCCATCTCTGCTTGCATTTTAGCCACACAACCTGGACGCAGGAGGGTCATATATCTGAGCTGGCACCACTGCGCTTGTAATGTGAAGCAGGCAGGCAGGCGATTGGGCACGGCCCCAGCGTGACGCAGCCCAAAGTTTAGCGTCAGTCACACGTGTGACTGACGCTAAACTCCTCACCGCCAAATGCATTGCACCACCCGGCCTGACCCCCAGCCAGCCAGGTGGCCGAGCGTTAGAGCGAGCAAGCGACTCGCAGTCGGAAAGGTTAGTTGGGTGGGGGTCTATTCAGCCCATCATCCCTTGGGGTCGATAAAACTAGTACCGCTTTGGGGGATAAACTCTCCCCCACCGTAGGAATGAGGAATTTCCACCGCTGGCTCAGGGCTTTAAACAGGACATGAGCACCACCTGTGCGATTTAAAAAAAGCCTTCCTCTCCACCAGACCAACTTCCCACAAAGTGTCGTCTGGCGTGCAGAGGTTGCCAAGGCGATCGTCGTTAACTGCGAGCCGACCGCTCTCACCGCACCGCGCCCATGGCCACACACCGAGGGAGCGCGATTCAGCCGAGTCGAACCGGCACCGGGGAGAGAGCAATCTAGCGATCTAGCGAGGCTCACCTTAACGAGGCCGGGATGCGTGGGCCAGCGGTCGATGACGCTCCACGCCATGCGGGGCGGCGTGCCACGCTGCTCGTAGTGCCGGTAGATGGCGTTCAGGCTGCTCCCTGCACGACGACAAGCCACAGACGCAGCGGGGCGCACACGCACACGCGTCACGAGCGGTACGCACGGGGAGGACCAGGCCTCGATTGGGGGCCCCCCGGAGCGTGGGCCTTCGTTATCAGCTGTACTGCGGGTACTGTGGGGAACACCTGTGGTGGAGCAGCTGAACTGCGGGTACTGTGGTGGACACCTGTGGTGGAGCAGCTGAACTGCGGGTACTGCGTGAAGGCCACCGCCCGCTGGATGCCGTCGCGCTCCATCTCCTCGATGGCGTCCTCCGTGAGGGGCCGCACGTAGCGGAAGCCGATATAGAACTTATGTGGCGCTGCACTCGTCGGACATGCAAAGCAGCAGCACCACTGTCACCATCAACATCGTCAACTTCATCACCATCATCACCGTCAACATCAACACCATCACCGTCGTCACTATCAACACCATCGATCACCTCCATCAACAGCAATGTGCAGCGGCTTCAGATGCAGTTGCATTTCGATGCTAGAGGGACACTCGTTGTGATCTCTGCATGCCACATTGTTGCAGGTTGTTATACACGTGTGTAATGATAGAAAGTGCGTGTGGATGTGTTGTGTGTATGAGCGTGTGTGTGTATGTGTTGTGTGTATGAGTGTGTGTGTGTGTATGTGTTGTGTGTATATGAGTGTGTGTATGTGTATGAGTGTGTGTGTGTATATAACACGCGCTACGTTTCATGGGTACGCAGGATCGCGAGACTAAAGCACGGAACCAAAGCTGAGTGTCGCTCGAAAGCCAGACGAGACAGAAGCGGCCCGTAAGTGCCTCCTATGAACTCAGCAACCCGAGTTCGATTCCTTGCCACGGGTAACTATCGGTGTGAAATATCTGAAACGGTCCCGGGCCTCCCCTAGGTCGACTCGTCCTTAAATCAGCACACGGTGCGGTGTGGGAAGCGGTGCTTGGCCACGGCAGTTCTTCGCGTGTGTCGTCACACCGGTATTAATAGGTGCTCGCTAACGGCACTTGCCCCAAGAGGCTTAGTCACCGAACAAAGACGGTAACCGCATCACGCGGCGCTTTCAGATGCGCTTCTGCGGCCGTCTGGAGCGCTCTTCCTTCCGATATTAGGAAGCCGCTGGAGCTTTGCACTTTTAAATCATCATCGAGATTGACAAACTCATTTCTCTAAAACCGATTGTAGTATTTAGTTTGTTGTCCTTCCCCCACACCTCCGATAAGCCATGGTTGGCTACGTACGGCGCGAAAAAAGTTCAACATGCATACAAGAGTCGAGCGTTTACATAAACGGGGATTCCGTTTCAAAGTTCACGCCAACGTCTAAACGCCTTGCATAACACCTCTGCGGAGCAACGCGTCTGCCTCAGGGTGAGGGTTTCACAGTGGAAGAGAATGCAATGAGGGAGGTAGCCGTTTACAGGCTGCCCCGATGAGCACACCGACGTTCATGAAACAAAGCGTCGGGCGATATCAGCGGTGCACAAGGGCGGACAACGACGCGGCAGCGGCGGCGGCGTCCGTCGATGACGCCGTGTGCGCGAGTGGCCTTGTAAAAGGAAAACAAACTTTCAATAGGTGAACGTTTCAGGCTACGAAGAAATTACGTTTTTCTTTTCAAGGCAACGCTATTGACTGTTTTGGCTTTTTTCGCCCACCGTTTACCAAGTAACTTTGACACACTTAACATTTGTATTTTAAATTTTAGAACTGTTTGTCAATTACAATCGAGCAGCGGCGACGAAACTTGTTGGCACACTCCGATCCGGCCCGTACGAGTTCGATTACTGGCCACGGCTAACATCAGTGGCAAAAGAGATATCCGACTCTTCTCCTAGGAGGCTTTATTCATCAACCCACAGCGAGCAGCACGTTAAAGAGTGGTCAAACAAACGCGTCGATGGACAAGAACTTGGGAAGGTGTTCATCCAGCAGTGTATTGACAGGAGATGTAAACTCCGATTTATTTATTTCTTACAAAGTTTAGCGCAGCATCTCAGCGGCGGCGGCGGTGGCCGGATGTGCCCGCAATGCCATCAGCCACCTTGGGGCCGGCTGTGCCCCCCTCTCCACTTGAGTGTGTGTTTAATTATATTGGATTAACACAACCCGTTTCTGCACAATAACGAATGGGGGGGGGGGCATCTTCCTGATCAATTCTGACCATGAGATAATCCAATTCACAGATAACAGGATTGCAGATAATTGCCATTTCCACTCTAATTTCCCCCACGGTGAACCAAGAGAGCCCTTTGCGATATAATATCTCATCAACAAGGGTGACCGAGATAAAACCAAAAAATCATCACCATTAGCCAGTGCCTCTCCACTCCTGCACGACAGGCCCTCCCCCCATGCCACTCCGACCCCCATTGTCCCACAATGCTCACTCCTTGACACATCTCAGCATTCGGTTGTCCTCTCTCATCAGGCACGTTCGCTCATTTAGACGGCCATCCCGTCGCTCCCGTCTCATCCACCTGTCCCTCGTCCCTTCGAGCGGCGTGTCCCGTCCAAGCCCGCCGACTCTCTCCAACATTCGGCGTGATGCGGCGCCTGGTCCCAGGTCCTCGCTTCCAGATTCTTCCATTGACATTCCGTTCATTCTTTACCTCAGTTGCTCCCGTCCGGTCGCGACCTCTGAACTCGCCACCCTCTGAACCCCGAGACGTCGTTTTACTGCCACTGCCGCCGCCGCTGCCGCCGCCGCCGCCGCCGCCTCCCTCCTCCCTCTCTCTTCGCTTCCCTCGGCCTCCACTCCGGACTTCATCTCCCCTCTCGTCTCCCCCGCCAGCTGCCCTCACGACGTGCCCTGCCCCCATTCCCACTCCCAAGTTCCTTCGCTCACAACGGCAGCATCGTCGGTCAACCCCCCCGTTATCCTCCTTACTTCTCCATTCCTCAACGACATCCCTTCGACTCACTCCTGCGCGGTGACAGCACGGCCACGTTTCACCGCAAGGGGCGGGGGGGGGGTGCAACTCAAAAGGATGCTACAGGGGGAAAACCATAAATAAACGCGGTGAAAATTGTAAATCAAACAGACTTGGCTGCCGGGCCGCTTTTCTTGGCCTGCAGTCAAACCTTGCACCTTGAAACCTCGACGGGGGAGGGGAGGGGGGGCGCGACCTCCTCCGCAGTGGGGCCCCGCGCCCTGCCTCAACGTGCAGCTGCCTCACGGCTACCGCGAGACTCCCCCGACTGCCAAGCCGGTGATTAAACGGCAAGCGGTGTCGCCCGCGGTCGACAACGCTCAACACCCTCTGCTTTGCACGATCGTGCTACGGGTGCCAGCTGGCTGACATGGGTGCCTCGAAGATCAAAGCCATCGCCTTGTTTTTTAGTTTTAATTACAGCCAGTCCTGCTATAACGCTGCAGGTTGTTTTCATAACGCGAATTTTATACAACGCGATGAACGTATGATTCAGTAACACATTTTTGTATAACACGGATGCGAATTGGATATCACGCGATTGAACGATCGGAGCTACGTCGCGAGAGTAGGAATAAGCAGTCGTGCGGCTGCTTCTGCGTAAGATCACACGAGGTGGGATGTTGCTGGATGCTTCTAGATGGTACCCACACACGCCTCAAGTCTTTATTCGGCCTGCATACGCATCTCACGTGTAATAGCGGAATGTGCTTTAGCCGACATTCAGCAGTGGATAGATAATGGCGAATGATGGACAAAACCAGCAGATTTTTTTTCTCCAAATTTGGGATTTTAGCCACGTATGTACGTGTGTATGTATGTTGAACTTCTTTCGCACCATACGTAGCCAACCATGCGAAGCGGACATGCCATAAACATCACCTATAATTTTTTTTTTCATTTTAGGGCAGTGCTATTGACGCACATTTTGCATGGTTTGTTTAGCCATAGGCGCCTTTCCCAAATCAAACCCAGGACCTCGACAATCGCGAGACGGTGTGTCCGGGCGCAGCTTCAGCGCCCAGAGTCACTCAGCCATCTCACCTTGAATGCGTTGATGATTCGGTTATTTGGCTCATCAATCCTCCTGACCCAGCGGGTAATCCTATTCACGGCTAACCTGGTTAAGTCGCTTATTTCTGAACGGACATGAACCCGGCAGCGCAGTGGTGTTGGCTCAGTACTCCCCACGTGGCCATCGTGAACCCTATGGAGCCATCTGGCCACCTCAATGTCACCGAGTCTTTAATGTCACCTCCTATCGGCACTTTGGTAACGATGCCCCACAGAAACCGCTGTCACTGTGGGTGCCAATCGCTCCTCCAAGTGCCAATGGGCTTTCAGCTCCTTCCAAATAAAGGTCTTTGGCAAAGAGCGTGGCACAGAAGCTAAAAACAGACTCACATAGGCGTGGAGAGGCCGCGCGTTTTGTAAGTCGGACACAGAAAAACCACGTGGATCAGAGAGCGAACGCAACCTTAAGAGACGCCATGGTTACTGTTCGGATTTGCCAGTGACAAAGTCACTCTCCTAGCTGGCGGTGACGACGGCTACTGGAGGAGACTGGGAAGGGAATGGCCACCCATGTGGAGGACACGCCCAGAGGGGGGGGGGGGTGCAACCACCGCGGGGACGGGCGACAAGCTCGGCTCCCGCGCAGGTGCGGGATGGACGGGGGTGGCATCGCAAGATTGTTGGCGCCACGGTGGCTAGGAAATGTTAACTACCTCACCTTGTATACAGGAGGTCGTGGGTTTGATCCCGACCCTGACGACTGTATATTTTGAGCTTGCGTGGAATTTTTCTCTGGGTCCTCCGATTTTTGCCTCCACATTTAGAATCAACGTCACGCGTTTAGAGCATAAATTTCCACGCGAGAAGCCACTTCATTGAGCTATCATTTGTCATAGCCAAGTCGCTTCTGAACAAAACAGCTACATAGCTCAGTGGGGGCCTTGACTTGTAAACTGAAAAATAGTTTAGTTTTAGTGATTGACGGCAACTCCTTGGGGAGGCCTTCATCCAGCCGAGGCGAGATCACGGCTGATGATGACGATGCTGACAGGTGGCACTGACTCTCTTACTACTACATACTACGACCATCATCATAGTTCTGTTATAACATTACTTATCTGTGGGCTTCGCTCCGACACGGTGCCTTGTTGCATTACTCGCTGCCAGCTATCTGGGGAGGCATTTCTTGGTCTCGTCATATAAACGGCAGTTGCACAATTTCGAGCTGGTTAAACAAAAAAGTCCATTGCGAAAGAGTCCATTGTGTGCTGGACGTTGTGACCCAAATGCCACGTTTGGAAGAATGTGAAACTGCTCTGAGGATTTAGCGAGGCAGCCCCCAGAACCAAAGCGCCCGCCACTCAGCCCTGCTGGACTGGCTGCCTCTGCGGCAAACCAGCGAGCGGTGGTGAGAGACAGAGAGCGCCGAGGGCTGGGTGTCTCAGCCGTGTCTGATGTTAGCGAGCGTGAATGTGAGCGTGTGTACGTACAAGCGAGCGTGTGTATGTGCGTGCATGCATGACCGTGCGAGCGAGCGCGCGTGTGAGTGCGAGCGAGCATGTGCATGCGTGTGCATGCGTGTGCATGCGTGCATGTGTGAGTGTGCGTGCGCGTGTGAGCATGAGTGTAGAGTGCGAGTGTGCGTGTGAGCGTGCGAGAGTGTGTGTGAGCGTGTGAGCGTGCGAGAGTGTGCGAGAGTGTGCGTGAGCGTGCGAATGCTCACCCGAGCCAGGGCACATGTGGTCAAGGAGCCGCACCATGCCCTCGCCCTGGCGGCTCGTCCACAACTTGATGGGGGAGCCGCCCCCGATGCGGCTGTACTGCTCCTGGATCTTGGGCGTGCGTCGTTTGGCGATCCACGGAGCCAGTTTACTAGAGGGGCGCACACACACACACGGGGGCGGGGGCGCACACAGGCGGACAGACGGGCGCACGCACGTCACCCTGCCGTTTGTTCATCGTTATCGCGCCCGTTGTCGTTGGGAGCGGCAGCGTGGCGGTGACGCCCGATGCCCCTCGAAGCAAGAACGCCCTTGGTTCTAATTCGCGACTCGGGCGCCTTTCTGCACGGAGTTTGTGCGATTCCCCTGCTCTGCACGGGTTTCCCATCTGGTGGCCTTTTTGTCATCCAACCAGTCCAGTCATCGTCCGGACGATCAGTCGATGAATCGATTTCTCAAATAATCAGAAAGCGCAGCTCTCCTTCGTTTGGTACTTGGCCCAACGATACCACCAGGCTATGCGTAGCATCTGTGTGTGCGCGTGTCCACCCGTTACATCATCACCTCTTGCAGCAGCAGCAGCATCAGCAGCCACAGCATTATCAGATGGCGCGGGGGCGGAGGGGTGCGTTAACCCTGCCCCCCTCTCCCAGCCGATGTGCAAATGCGTAAATGTCACCGCAGCATTTTATTCCGACAACATTGGTGATCTTGGGCAACACTGGTGGCACAGGAGCCAGCCCAGCCCTTCAATCAGCCAAGCAGCTGATCTTAATCACTGGCAGCAGTTGCCACGAGCGAGCGGTGGGCACGCCAGTTGGCGCCGTCCCACGGTAACGGTTTCACGGCCAAGAGACGACGCGTCTTCACGTCGCGTCACGGGACGGGGCGTCACGGGACAGGGCAACACTCATGGCGTCCGGCGCAGGGAGTCTCCTCACCTCTGGGCGGGCAGGGGGATGAGGTCTTTGTCCAGGAAGAGGCGTTTGAGGAAGTCGTGAACGTCGTCCGTTGTTTCGGGTCCCCCCATGTTGAGCAGGAGGATGCCCGTGCGGGGCTTACTGGGGGCACACGGGCGTCGGCAAAGACAACTTTTGATGAACATTTCACGTTTGTACAACGCAGCAAAACGTAAGCAGCATAATAGGTACTGCATATTTTCAGATTAATATGATCCGTTGCAATGTATATGACTACATGTACCTCCCTCTGGTCTTGCCATCTGATAGGCTGACAGTGATGACATCACCTTTGCTCCTCTATTTAAGACCAAAACGGGAAGACTTCTTCACAATTCTGGCTAATCATCCGATGAAGCTGGTTGTAATCACCAGCTAAACGTCGTACTCGAATTGTAAATGTTGTGGGTTTACTCTCCAACACACCGGTGTGCTGAAGTAGGAACTAATTGGCACGTTTTGCTTACGTGACAAATCTTACTAATTGGCTGTGCCGGGTGGTGGCGGGTTTACCGACACATTCATATTTACGCGATTGAACCCAAAAAAAAATACTATGGAGCATACAGAGGGTGTCCGCGTGCGGTAAGGGTGAACGGTCCGTTCCCAAACACCGAGTTGTGATCTAAGGCAGCAAGAGAGTGGCAGAGCCGAGAGAGAAAGGAGAATACGAAGCAAACAATCCACGTGACCACGGGGAGAACGTGTGAACTCCAAACATACAGCAGGTGTCATGAGGGTGGGGATCGAACCCACGACCTCCTGTATACCAGGCGAGGTAGTTAACATCTCGCCACAGTGTGTCGCGGTTATTAAAGTACGACGAGAGCCCATCTCGACTGCTGTCTCTTCTGGCAGGACGATGTGTGCCGCAATTATGATGTCCAAAGTCGTTCAAGCGGTGCTCAGCTCCTGTTTACAGCTCTCAGCCAGTGATGGAAATTACACATCCATATATCGGGGCTGAGTCTATCCATAGGACAACTACTGTTGACTTCCCCACACAAAGTGGTACTAATTTTATCCACCCTGGAAGGATGATGGGCTGGGTTAACATCCAAACCAAGATCTGAACTCGTTTTGAGTGACAACGTGTTGGTTGTTGACACTTTTTCCCAAGACATCACCCACCTTTAAATCACGAACACGTCTACAGGAGTACAACAAGTAGGCTGCAGAAGCCAGTCTATGCAGGGTTTCAGTTCTATACCCCTGTTACGTGTGTGTGGGGGTTATTTTTTCCCCTCAACGCTCTCGCTTTGCTTCCAGAACTAAAAATACCAGAGAGGAAATGGCCACGCCCTGAGCAGGTCCATCCTGCATCACGTCGGAGACCCGATGAACGCTCGGATAACTCAACGGCCTCATCCACGTTCAGCTCTACGTAAACAAACATTTTTTAACGTGAGAAAAAAACCAAAGCAACGCCCCCCCCCGCCGAGTCTCAAGGTTCGTCCGGGTAAAACGTTCAATGCGCGGCAAAATTTATTTGCACACGAGAGAAAACCAAAACATTTCCAAGACGAAACTCTCACCCAACTCAGCTCACACAGCCTGCCAGTCTGTAAACCCACTTGCTGTACTGCCACCTACACCAACTGACTGCTGAAGTATACAAGGCGTTTTGGAAGGTGTTGAGGCGTTTTTGGGGAGGGGTAAGATTTCAAACGGTGCCCCTGCGCTGCGTTTGCAGTCGGCACGATGCCCGACGTTTCGCTCCATGCTCTGGGAGCTCCTTCAGGAATGTAATTGAGAGGCTCACGCTCGACGATGCCGCGTTACCGGCCGCTGCCGTCAAGCGTTTGATGGGAGCAGTCCGATGGGAGCAGTCCGACCGACGTTATTGGCTTTCTTCGCTTGTGCGCACCGGCTCATCGTCGCTCGTGCGTACGCGGCGAGACCCAGAGAACGCCGTGCTGAACAAAACCGCGGTACGACTCGAAAACGCTCCGTCAGAGAGCTCTGCTACTCGTCGAGTCGTCTGTCTGAACCGCGCGCCGCAGGTCCGACGACCTACCACGCTGATTTTGGCGGAGCCTTGGCCTCCTCGGAGAGGGCGGAGGGGGCGGCCCTCGACTGCCAGCGGAGCAGCACGGGGGCGGCGCGGTGCGACGCCACCGGCGCCCAGAGGCCTGGGGAGACACAGGGAGAGGAGCGCCATTAACACACGGAGCAAGCTCACTCACGACACACTATACACTAGCAACACGCTACACATAAACAACACGCAGTGCGTCACCGCGACCTTACAACACACTGCACGGCTCACAACATGCTACACACTAACACGACACGCAACGCAGCACACAACACGCGGTCTGTCAACGCGTCCTTAGACGCAACTCGCTCCCAATGCACACGTCATGGCAACGCTGAACGACAAAACGCACATGACGCTCAAATCGTCTCCAAGTTGGGCAAAGGCTTCCAATTTTTTCCCCGGTTGCGACGGTGACAAGAAGGAACGGAGGGGTAGACGATGATCACCAAAAGCAGCGATGGCTGCGGCAACGAGACCCATGATGCAAAGGGGAGGCCAGGTCGGAGAGGCCCAGCGCTTGTGGAAGCCGGGGTCAGATCAAGGCAATGACCAGTTAACCCGAGCACTGTCCAGCAATGCTTTTGGCCCTTGGTGTGAAATCAGCCCATTGGAGAAACCATTGGCAAAGGTTGCCCAACACTCATCTGAGCAAGGGGAACATTTTGACACGCGAGTTGTATTGTAATATTGTGCGCGCACGCGCACGGCTGCGCGACATGCCATGGATGTATTCCCAGCCACCGAGCAGCAGGGAAGATAAACATCAACCGACGGCGCAACGCAGTGACATGTCACAATGTCCCCCGACGGTGCAACGCGAGTGGAACGCGCACAACACACAAAGATCCCCCACGTCGTCTCTTCAGCCTGTTGGAGTATCAGCACTGATAGTTGAAGCACTGTCATTTGGGGTATAAGAACTGTTAGTACTGGTAGGAACCTCCTGGTTACACCAGCCCACAGGGGATTATTGTGTCCGTCCATCGTGCAGGAAGGGGCTGGGTGGGGAGGGAGGAGCTGGGTGGGGAGGGGAGGGTGGGGAGGGGCTGGGTGGGGAGGGTGGGGCTGGGTGGGGAGGGGAGGGTGAGGAGGGGCTGGGTGGGGAGGGGCTGAGTGGGGAGGGTGGGGAGGGTGGGGCTGGGTGGGGAGGGTGGGGAGGGGCTGGGTGGGGAGGGGTGGGGAGGGGCTGGTCACCCCGTGGTGCCCTTATAAAATTCAACGTTAAACCTACTCACGCCGGCTTGTGCCCGCCCTCACAGTCGGGCATATTTGCGGAATACACCACGCCGCCGTTGACCCTGGCCATTGACCGAGCAACCCAAGGTTCCTACCAGCTCCCTCCGCAGGAATGTGTTTGGAGTATTAGCACCGTTAGTTGGAGTAAGCACTGTTAGTTGGAGTATAAGTGTAATGACATGATGACATCTGCTGGTTGGAAAATGGAAGCACGGGTACGGGCACCACTAAAACATCATCCAATCCCAAAGGGAGAGGTATCTGGGCCAAAGGTAAGTGGCGCGGGCTGGCCAAGATACTCCGGGACCCTGCTGGAAGGTTCCACGAGAGAGCGTGGCCAGAGGCTGAGCCTAGCTGCGCCTGCGGCAATAATAAGCGGGGGCAGAGGAGGACTCATGGGACGGTGTGTGGAGTCTTGGGTCCGGACTGCGTCGCTGCTCCCCGTCATCTCTCTCCGTCGTCCGGCCACGTGGCGGATCTCCTGCCGAGTTCCACCACCCTCGCCGGCACGCCGTCAGCCAGCGGCGAGGCCGGGAGTGGACGGGTGGAACCACGCCATATGGTCGACCGTGTGTGTAGCCTGTAAGGATGCTAACATCTAAGTGTTGTACTCGGAAAAAAAAGAAGATAGGGTTGTGGCCTGTGTTGTGCCCGTATGTGAATTAAAGAAGAGTACCCTCTACACGACGTGTCGCGGAAGTCGCTCATTACATAAGCACTGTTAGTTGGAGTATAAGCACCGATAGTTGGAGTATAAGCACTGTTAGTCGGAGTATAAGCACTGTTAGCGAACACTTGTGAAGGCCGGCATGGCGCACGTGGGGGGTATTGTGGTCCGAATCACGCTCGGACACCCTCGTCTCCGCAACGCTCGCGCTTGCGCACTGCACCGGGTCCTTATTTGAGACTGCATCCACACAGGAGACTCCAAGGACTGGTCCAGAGAAGCACCGCTGGTGTAAGCGACAACCGGGAATCACACTCCGATCCTCATTTGAGAGGTGGTGGTGATCATGATGAGGTGGTGGTGGTTTTCTAATTGCTGCCTCCACTCCTGTCTCCTGTGCCTCTCTCTCCATCTCCCCGTCTGTTCCCTCTCTCTCGCTGCTCTATAATCTCTGTAAATGCGCTCTCTCCCGTCTCTAACGGTCTCTCCCCTCTGCTCTCTCTTTTCTCTCACTTAAAACGGATCTTTGCCACGCGACTAATGACCGGCAATTTTCTTACGCCTTGCGGATGACAACTCGCGTCCCACAGGCCAGATGTGGCCCACGAAGGCCCTTAGGAGAGGCCCTGCCGAGCTGTGGCCCACTGAGCGATGTGGCCCGCCGAGACATTACAAGATACAGACGAGTAAGATGAAAGATAAACGGGAGATAAGAGATGCGGAAGATAAGAAACACGTACAGATGTCGCGACACGTTACGACATCAAGCCACATGGAATCATGACGTCAGAACGTTTGTGCAGAATAGATTTATACTGGAGGAATCCGAGGAGCTATAAAGCTCTTTTTCACAATGTCCAGTCGGGGCACGTCAGAACGATGACGTCACGTAGCCTGCCAGCACGTGCCCACGGTATCATGTGACAAGACAGAAAAAAAACTAACTGCACCTAATTCATTCCCAAATCTCTTGATACGCGAACCAATCGGCCATCGGAGCTGTCCGGAAACCAACCACGCATCATGTCGCTCAGTCCAGGGAACACCACTTTTGGCAAGGTGATGCTGCTTGTTAGCACTTCGACATACATACAGACACGCTTCGCCACCCTAAGTGTGGGTGCTGCAAACTGGGCGCGTCAAAGGCAACTCCTCTTCGCTGGCAGATCAACAAAATGGCTCCTTTAGACCCCCGTCAGCATATCGGGCGAAAGTGAACCCTACTTACATTTGCCTGGCCTTCGTGAGGCCAAATCACACGCGAAGTTTGACCCCGTGAGGCCAAATCACACGCACACTTTGACCCCATGAGGCCAAATCACACGCGCACTGACCCCGTGAGGCCAAATCACACGCGCACTTTGACCCCGTGAGGCCAAATCACACGCGCACTTTGGCCCGGTGAGGCCAAATCACACGCGAAATTTGACCCCGTGAGGCCAAATCACACGCACACTTTTTCCCCCGTGACACCCCGACAGACACCCCGCGCCAAGGCTTACACACCAACGTGACGGAGGAGCGGCGAACAGTGGTGCTGTGATTAGTGCACCGTGCTACGGAGACCATTGACCCGAGTTAGACTCCCGACCACGACTAACATCAGACATGAACTGAGGCCGGTTTTACGTGGAGACGGAATGGAGACTTCTGTTTGTTTTATGGGCAACCGAGGTCACCGCGACTGAAAGCTGTGCTCTCAAGCTTTCTTACGCTTCACCGTACACATACCCTGGAGTAAGCTTTTCCATTGACCGGGAATTGGGCCACAAAACGTCCTAAAGCATCCAGGAAAAATTGCACGCAAAAATCCCGTTGTGTAACCTGGACCAAGTTATCCACTTAGACGCAAGCCCTGTGCGCCCGTGCCGGCCACTCGAGAGCGCTCTGCTCATTGTGCGGCCCACTTTAACCAAAGAAAACAGCACCGTGCAGAGTCATCTTGGCCACAGCGGTGGCGGTTACATTTTTCAAATTTGCTGCGGAATTGACCCAGCCGTGTAGCACGGCGTGTGTCAATCCACTTGCCAGAGAGCGTCAGATACTTAAATCGTCTCGTGCATGGGCGTTTCACCGGTAGCCCCATGAAGCGCGAAGCGGTTTTGAGAGAATCCACGTCGTACGTTGAATCGAGTCGTGAGAAGTCTAAATGAAAACGGGGGCCTCGCCACGCACGCACAAAGACAAAGACCCCCCGTGTAGCCTTAACTGACTGTTGGGACAAGTGCTGTTAGCGCACGAGGGGGTGGGTGGCCAGCACCACGCCCGACCCTCTGGCGATGTTTACACACCGCACCAGGTACTTATTTGAGGCCAAGTTGACCTAAGGGAGGCCCAGGACCGGTTCAGATAATCGTCACTGGTTTTGGCTGTGAGCGGAAATTTAACTCGGGTCGCAGGGTTCGCTAACCACTACACCACCGCTCCCCACGCACACAAAGATAAAGACAAAGATCCCCCGTGTAGCCTTCACAGACTGTAGGGGCAAGTGCCTGTTAGCGAGCACCCACACACACACAGGCACACACGCACGCTGGTCAGTTTGGGTGAGTGAAGGTTCGCAGGGGAAGCACAGAAGCGGGAACACGTGAGTACAGTACAGTAACAGCCCGAGTCACGTCTCCCACACGTTTCACGTCGTTTCCCAAACGCGTCGTCACGTCGTTGTGAACACCGCCACCCGCATCTGCGTCGCCTCAACCCCCGTCGTTTCTCGTTATCCGTCGCCACTCAGCCTTCGTCACCACCACCACCACCCACCACTGTCCCCGTACATCGCTTTGATCTTTACGCCGTTTCCATATTCGTCGACGCACATTTTGGGAACGCATCCCCGCCGTAAACCGGGGTATTGCCGATCCACCGCACGTGTCCCACCCTTCCCCCCCATTCAATTGTTTTTTTTTCGTTTGAATTATCCGCTGCCGTCACAACGACCCACCCGTTCCACACCATTCACATTCGACACCGCACAGCATCGCCGGCTTCGATAATAACCTGATGGGGGGTAAGGGACGTCCCGATAGGAGACGGAGCGATGGAATCGGCTCGCGCGT